GAGACAGAATTAAACAAACAAACAAACAAACAAATCTTTGACTCGGAATGAACTGGTGCTGGTTCGGTTAACAACCACATCATCAGAACTTCTTCAGCTCGTGCAGCGGCTTTTCCACACGCTCGCATTTTATTCTGGGAATTATTTGTGGAGTTTTTGCAGTTTTATACCAACTTTTATTTTCCTTTTGCATCAAAATAAACGAACGTTTTAGTTCCAGACACATAAACCCCACAGCTGCTAACCCAGCGCCTGGCTCATATTCAGCTTCATATCTAACACTCGGAGCTGTTTATTAAACACAAATATAACAGAAACGGACTTGAAGCGGGAACTACAAGTGCGACTGCAGAAACCCTCCGGACAGCTTTTACAGCTGCACACAACACTGGCTGAGCAGCAAACGTACAGAAATAACGCGCTAACCGCTCCGTGGAGGCGCGTGCCCTTTCTAGTCTGTCACCGAACAAGCGCGCGGACTTCCGGTCTCTTTAAACACCACCGCCGCGTCATGCCGGGGTTGAAACGGCGAAAACCAAAACAAGCTTTCAGCTACAGAGATAAAAACCTACTTATCAGGCGTCCAGATGCGTTCAAGTCCCGGTCTGCGCCCACAGACTCGAGAGCTCGTGGTTCGAGTCAAATCCAGAAACGGAGCAGAAATGGATTATTTTCACTTTGCTGACTTTGAAGTAGCTCCATAGCGGAGAGAGTGAAGGGGGGTGGTAGTCACATGACCACGGCAAGCAGCCAATCGGAGGGAAGTTGTCGAGGTGACGCACTTTGGCGCAGTTCTTATTTTTAACCGCGAGATGGCAGTGTTTCCCTCTAGCCTCAAATGTCGTGGAGATTTAAATAACTCCTGTCTTCTAGTTTAGTTTAGTTTATTTGTCATATGCAAGTTAGCACAGGGTCAACATTGCAATGAAATGTGTTTGACGAGCAGCGGTCTCTCAGCAGCATCATACAGTAGAAACAGGAAGAAGGTGTAATACAGTAAAAGCAAAATATTAGAGTCATGCTAAAAGTAAAAGCTTACTAAATAGATAAGTACGTATAGATGACTAAATATAAATATATCTAAAAAAACAGCTGTGAGTGTGTGTGTGTGTGTGTGTGTGTGTGTGTGTGTGTGTGTGTGTGTGTTTACAGAACTTTCCTTTTTTATCTCTCATGTGAATCAGTGGATCAATTGAAACGGTTTTCTGGGGTAATTTTCCAGCTAGAAGGTGTCCCGCAGGTCTGTTGGAGGCTGCTGAAACCAGTTTGTTACAGGAAACTCAAACAAAATCCACACCTTGGTTTCCTGTTTAACATCAGTTTATGTTTCAAATAGAAGGAAATTAATTAATAATGCAAACTAAAGTAAAAGTTGCGTCTTCCTTATTTAGATTCAAAACACCAGTTAGCGTCATGTAGGTGCGCGGTTGTGATCCAGCAGGGGGCAGCAGAGCACAGATAAAGCATGAGGAGATGGCGGATGAATGAAGTTCACCAGCGGCTCAGAGTCAGGAGCACAAACACGCACGAAGAACGTGGAATGTGCCTTCACGAGGAGGTGTGGAGAACAATCCCATTTCCTTTTGTTTGCCGGAGTTTGATAAGAAAGAAAGAAAGAAGCAGGGAAGAAATTCCTTGTTGTTCAAACACCTAAAAATCCAAACGGTTCCCTGGAAGCTACGTTTCTGCGCGCGCGCGCGTGTGTTTTCTGCAGCCGTGAGGTGTGTTCTGTGTACTTGTGGTGTGTGTAACCATGGAAACCAGAGGCCAGAAAATCCTAGACAGTTTTATTATTTTACAGCAACAAAGGCAGACTTTTAGTGAGGTGGTAAAACGTCGATGGATGTCTGAAAGTTACAAATAACCTCTATTATTAAATATTATTGTTGTTGTTATTATGATGATTATTATAATCATCATAATAATATAGATTATTATGATTACGATGATGATAATAATAATAATTATTACAATAATTATAATAACAATATAGATTCTTCTTATTATTATTATTATAATTGTGATAATAATAATGATGATAATTATTATCACAGGTAAATATTTGAGCTTTTTTCTGTCATGATAATAAACATAAACAACCTTACATCATCATTTTCTGTCTGCAGAACATTTACTCCTGACGTTGTCGTCGTGTGATGTGATTATGTTTAGTTGAAATTGTTTTTCTTTTCTTTTTACATTTTCAGATTGTTTCATTTGTTGAATATATTTTATGTGATTTTTTTCCATTAAAATACTGAAATAAACTAAAATAGTTTCCTTCTAAAATCAGAGAATCCTTTTATTTTATTTTACTTTTTTCTGTTTGATTTGTTTCTAATGACATCTGTTTATTACACTTAACTGGTTATAAACACAATTTTATAGTTATATAATTCATATTTATCTGATTGTCTTTTACCTGTTATTATTATTATTATTATTATTATTATTATTATTATTGTTATTATTATTATTCAGGAAACTTAACTTTGATTAAAACGTTTCATCGTTTAATCATTTTTCCCACAGATCTTTTTCGAGTTAGTGTTTTTCGTTTGTGAAATCTTTTTAATTCCAGATATTTGGGTAACATAAAAATGCTCAGACAGCTACGATGTCTGGCGGTTAGGGAGAACAGCATCGCCCGTGTTGTAGCCGTTTTACCTGTGAACCACCTGGAGGATCACCTCCCTGGTTAGCGACCTCTGAACCAACACGCCAGAGCTTCGCTTGCTCAACATCAGTTTTAAACATTGTGACGAATCCACCTGCAGCATTAAAAATCTTCCAGAAGATTTTATTTTCCCATTAAATTATTTGAGGGACGGTGGACACGATGCACGGAAGACCCAGAAAGTCCTTCGACACACAAAGCTGCTGAAACTCTGATCTCCAACCTGCAAAGCAAATAAGTTGTCCAAAAAGGCTTCAGATCAACTTCTGAAGTGTTTTGAGACTTTAGCACATTTCACACATTATTTTGCCAGATTTGCAGAAAATAAAAACAAGATGTAATTTTAGAGATTTCTGACATTTTCTACCAAATCTATGGAATCATTTCTAGTGAAAATCCTTTAGTTCAAGTGAGAAGGATGTCCCAGAACTTCAGTTTTACAGGTTTATAAAATATGTAAAAGATCGGAGCATAAAGTAGTGCCCCCCCCCCCCCACACACACACACGCACACACACACACACGGAGCTTCCAGGATCTGGGAACGCCAGTAGTCTGTTCAGTTAAAGGATGTGGAGGAGGAAGCGGACTGACGGCTCACGCTGCTACACCAGTCTCCGCCCAGCTAACCGACTGGGACTCTTACATCTGACCCACAGATCACCTCACATCCCATAATAAACACAAACTACACACAGAAACGTTCTCGCTTCCTAATCAGGGATCTAAGGTATGAAACAGACGCAGGCGGTTCCTGGACCTGTCCCGTGTCCCAACAGAACCAGTTATTGTGTGATGTGTTTTATGAGTGGAGCACTTCATTCTCATGAATACCCGTCACCGTGGCAACACACACTGATACAAGCCCAAGGTGGGCATCACGTAGATAGAAAATGTAGTTTTTGCTTCCATGTTCTTGTCTTTATGATATTTGTATCATTTGGATGAAGCGTCGCAGGCGGAGCGGGTCTAAACCAGGTGGGTTAGGAGAGAATTACGTAACAAACGGATCCTGGCACGAGCCAGTTCTCGCTGTTCCTCCTCCACCCACATCTGTCTGAGCTGCACCCGATAACCGGAGGACATAAACCCTGTTTACAGTTTTTTCTGACGGCTTAAACCCTAACTGTGATTCTTAAGGCACCATTTCTGAATCTATTGATACTTACAGCAAAACCACTCACTGAGTTTGCCAAAATAAAAGCACAAACACTGCTTTGCACTCAGTTTGCAGTTTTGTGACACACACTTTGCCAATCTGTAGGCGCTTTGCACTAAACAACACTGTTTCTGCACAACTTTAAACACAACTCACTGCTTACACTCAGTTAGCACATTTCCAACACACTCCTAGCTAAATGATACACCTGTGGCTATCATTAACACCTTCACCTGTGAAAACTGTTTTAGATCATTCGTTCACTTTGCAACCAGCCTAAGCGTTATTATAAATGAGCCACCTTGCCAGGGTTAGGGTTAGGGCAGCTATAAGCCAAAATGGTGGTGCTCTCCATCATGCAGCCATAGGCCCATATGACACTGCACACATTATTGTATTCCTGGACACCTTACATGACACGCCCACTGCTCAGAGACCAGAACATACCCGATATGTCATCAAATGGGACAATGTTAGTTTCCACAGGGCTGCGTTGGTTAACAGACCACCCATCCTTCATGGCCTCCCTCCATTCTCTCCATTCCCACCGAGAATTTACTGTCATAAAAAATGAATAAGAAAAGGTAATCATGGGATCCAAGGAAAGACTATAGAGGCAGCAGCATGAAGAGAAGCTAGTGAGGAAGAAGAGGATGAAGAGGAGGTCCCACCAAAGCCTGAACAGCTGCTTATAAAGGAGACCACTGAGTCCACTGATCTCAAGCTCAGGGGGAAGGAGGTCCAGAGTCTGGGGGCCGGTATATTCAACATCGTTTTTATTTTTATATCTTGTTCTTGTGAAAAGCCTCGTGGTTTTTTGAGCGCTACTGCAGGAAAATATTCCTTCTACCTGTTTAGGCCGACGCGCCCGAGGCGCTCCAGTGTGGATTTAAACGTTTGCAGCGTTCACACCTGATTTCCTGCATAAAATACCAGGAAGTCGATGGTTTTTGTTCATGAGTTTCTGTTGCTGAGTCTACCTCAGATTCAACAGGCTGCTCAGTTCAAAAAATAGTTTTCATTCACTATTTTCTATTTAACTGCTCAGCACATTTTAATCTCTAAACTTTATTAAAACTTAATGTTCTGAACTTAACAAATACTGAGATAAAATGGAAATGTACAAATTAAAATATAATAATAATTCTATATTTTATTTACTTTTTTATATTACAAACATTTAAAGCCCCAAATGAATGAAAAATGCCCAAAAGATACACTTTCATGGCGTTTTTCTGGGTGGGGAAAAAACAACAGAACAGCTGTTTCCTGTTGGCGTCGTGGGCGAGACATGAACAAGCATCGCTGCTGAGCTGAAAGGGTTAAATCTGAAGGTGAAGAAGGGAAAAGGTCACGCCTGTTGCATCAGTCTGCATCTCGCTGGCAGGTCAAACGAAACCATCCAGTAAACGGGCCCAGATCCACTCCAGTTCATGTTCTGGTGATGGTTCCAGAAACCAAACAACAAAACTAATCAGTCCCGCTAAAAACAGACGTTTCAAACCTCGAACGCGCCAAACGAGGCGGTTCTGATGTTTCCTAAACACCGTTCACTAACTGAGACAGAACTTTAGTTGCATTAGGAGTTTTCTCTCGTCAAACAGAAACGTGCGGCCCGGATCCGTCCAGACGGGACAGAAGTGGCGTCCAGGAGGAGGACAACCGAACAAACGGCCCTCAGGAACGGCTCAAACATCAGAATCCGTTTTGTCCTCTTTCGTTTGGAGGTGGCCTTGGCATGTTGGTGTGTTTGTGTGCTCGTGTTACGTGGGTATTACAGGTCAGATAGAGCAGGTAACTGATTACCCAGGCCGGTCGAACCAGGTCTGCGTGTGGGAAGAGGAGGGCTGGAGCAGATCTTTATATCCTTATTAGTCCCACTCCCAAAGCTCTCATCCCCAAACTTGACACCCTGACCAC